CAGCACTGTAAGCAGAGCTAGTGTTTCAGTAAAAGATATATAAACAAACACACATACTATTAAACTCCGATGTCGCAGTCAATCGCAATACGGGCTTTATAGAGATACTTTCTGGTAGCTAAGGAGCATTCACCTTGGGGAATTGTATTATTGTTTTAAGTAAGATGTTGTCATGATTGTTATTACAAATGCGTTTTCATTGGGACCTTGTCTGAGAGAGTGTTTATGTACTTCCGGGTTGTTTAAATTGCAATTATGCTAAATGGGACTAATGTCATCTGTGGCACGATTATAAAGTTACTTCTAATCTATCTAGGTTACCTTCCTGTTGGTCCTGGGTGTAAATCAGCTCGTGTAATAATCTAGTCGGCTAACACGTCGCCATTCCATGCTGCCCGCATCTTGATGTTCGAGAATACAGAAGGTACTGTATGAGTAAATAGCTGCTTTGTACGCCCTCATCGGTAGAGTCATGTTCATTATCAGTGGGTTTATATCTCCCAGAACGAGTGTATCCAGTTCAGAGGATGAAGCCAATTACACAAAACTCTTTTCTGAATTCATTGTACCGGTCACGAATAATCACGTCACCCAAACGAGTTCAAATTTAGCGCCGATCTGAGCTTGGAGGAACACACCCACGTGACCTCGATCCAAAATGGCCGACGACTACAACAATCCATTTTTGTCTGAGATTGAACCGATCGAAGACAACATTACAGAAATTACAGAAGATATCTCCGAGATTGTTGAAGCACCAGTTAGAAGAAAAGTCGAAGAAAGTGATGGCAGAATTTCACTGGATCAGGTGGCTGCGATTTTACTAAATGACCACTTTATTCTGTCAGCCCTTGAGCTGCACACAGAACTTGTCGAGAGCGGCCGGGAGCTTCCTCGGCTACGAGATTATTTTTCGAACCCCGGAAATTTCGAAAGACACGAGAAAGAAGCTTCAAATCAGCTTTGTAAGTAAACAGTTTACTTTATATATACCGTTGTCTTGGTGTGAGTGTTATTATGAAAAATTAGTACATAGTGCGTAATATAAACATATATTTGTGTGGTATAATTTATTTATTTATTTGTTGTTGTTATTATTTATTTATTTATTTACTTATTGACTCTTACACAATCCCCGGAGGGAAAGAAAATGGTCACAAAGTACAAGGAGAAATATATATATAAAAAACAAAACAAAAACACAATATACTAAATAACAAATACAATCACTAAATTACTAAATAATACAAAATCTCTAAAATACAATCTAATATAAAATTACAAAATTGACAGCAGGCATTAAGATGTCAAGTAAGACCCTGCTTCCTGACTTCAAAGCTTTTACTTACGAACTGTGCTACTGGTATAATAATGTTTTCATTCT